AATTTTTAACTCGTAGCTGTTATTATTTGAATTATCCTTGTGATTTCCTTAGCTTCAAACATTAGCATGCTCAGACTTGGTGGTGTTAATTGTATCCTCTCGTGTTATATTCGCCTCACTTCATCTTGAGTTTGTGTTGTATTTATTTAACCTGTAAACTAGTAAGGACAAGTATAGGACAATGTTTCTGTCAGTCAAATCCCCTACACAATACTCCCCATAAATTGAAGATCTGTTTCATCAACATTTTAGCAAAACTAAATAAAGAGCCTTTTAGTTTTACAAGAATTCACATAATATTGGATTTAAAAATGAAAAAAATAAAAATAAAAGCAGATATTTTCGTCTTACAGTACGAGTCAAACAGTTTATCATGTATTAATTGTGTAGTATCAAGCTCTTATTGTGTCAAAAACTATAACCCTTCTAGGCTACAATAGGGTTAGCTTAATTCAAAAATTTTTTTTAATAAAACCACTACTACATTGGGTACAGGAGTCCACTACCATGGTATTCAACTAAGTTAGAAAGCAAGACAGTAGTTAACTTGATCCATAATAATTGAACCTAAAAGAAACTGACTCATCTCTCTCTCTCTCTCTCTAGAGGAAATATTGGGTGTAATGGTTGTACTATATCAACAATGTCGATGTAGTGTAACCATCTAATAAAAAACTACAAAATAGATAAAATGAGACCCATTTTTTTATTATTGAGATGGTAATGTATTACATGGTTGGGACGTTATGAATTTTTTTGAGTTCATTTGCAGATTTGTTTACTTATTAATAGACGGTTATATCACACAGCATTGCTGATATGATATAAAAATTACACCCAACATTTTTTTTCCCCCTCTCTCTGAAATCTGAATCTCGTATCCACCTAAAACATGAAGCCCATTATTCCTCGCAAAAAGCAACATATCTGCCAATGAACAGAGAGTTAGGTTAATCTTGCTGATCTGATATCATGTAATATAATAATGTAATGATGATGTATTAGTAATAATAGCTTTGATTTTTATTCATATCTTTACGTTGCTGGCATGTGTTAGATACCTCCTAATCCACCTACTCACATGCTGCACACTTTTAGATTAATTAAAGATGGTGACTGATGAATTGTTGTTTACTAGTTAATATTGAAGTTAAAAACTTTGTAATTCGTGCTTTGACTAGAAAGAATTTACTCATTGTTTGACAAGAAAGCATCAACTAATTACATTTTATAACTGAGTTTTGGAAGAATCTAAACAGAGTGTTGACTGGTCTTAGTTATACAAAAGCTTGTTGAAATGAAATCATGCATGTGAATGATCCCATCTAAGGAAAAAGAAAACATTCTCAACCTTCAAAAACTACCCTACTCCAAAACCATGAGAGATTTGTCCACGGATCGAATTTTTTATGTGAATTTGAATCAAAAGAATTGGATATGGGTTAACATTTTTTACCGAGTATCAAAATATGAATGTAGATAGATCGTACCATATATAGTTGATGGATTCAAATTAGAAAAAATCAATGTGCAATTTGGTAAGTAATCCAACTTGAATTACATATAATAAAATGGAGTAATTATTTTGTTAAATTCAGTTTAATTCTAGGTGTAACTTGCTAAAATTTATATCTAATGAAAGTTGATTTGGATTGGATGTAGAGATGCACTATGATAATGAAAACTATTAGATATTTAGATCTATGTTTTCTTTAAAAAAAGAAATATTGAATGACTTCATCTTAAATTATGGATGTATTGTTAGCATAGATGATTTGGACGATATAATCAGAGGACGCGTATGATTAGATTTCATTTGTATACTAGGTAGAATCTGGCATACCTTAACTAAAGCCTTTGCATGGGCTCGGCATGCCCCATTCGTAGTTTTTATTTGTAAAGTCTTTATTCCTTGATAATCAAAGTCTAAAATTCTATTAATTAACTCATACTAGCCAAGCAATAAATCTATTATTTCTAGAAATCTCTCTTTTGATTCAACATTATGGTGTAACGTGTATCTTGCCCTATTCTGATCATGGAATAGATGAAAGGACAAAGACCCAAACTCATGTCCTACCAATCAAGTTTGGTGGGTCGGGTGAGTGGTTAGTTGCCCATCACCAACATTAATTTTGTATAACAATGAAGGAACAATTGGGGGGGGTTTCTTTTACATTTTCTAGTAGTGTTGTGCAACTTGTAGCCCATTTGTTCAAGCATGAACAACATGCAAACGCAGCGATGTACTTCAATTATAGGGACAACTTAGCAATATCATCTTATCTAGTTAAGAGTTATAACCTAGTGTGTTATGGCTGGATTGCTGTTATCTTGAAAAAAATATAGGAACATTTAGAGGTCGGTCCCTCGTTGTGTACTTGTTTGGAGATAAGTCTATTAAAAAAACTTGTTTAATATGAAGTCCATTTTAATCACTATTGTCTAAAATACCGCTAATAGTTATGTTTAATTACAAAAATTTTAAAATTAATAACTCTTAAAATTTTAGGAGTTTGATTAATATTAAAATTTTCTTTCTCTTATATCTATATCCACATATAAAATAGAACTATTTATTTTTCTCTCATATATATACATGTATATATATACATACATATACATATAGTAACATTAAAAAAAATAATAACATTTAAACAAAAAAAATAGTATCATTTAAATACAAAAAAAGTATTAATATTTAAACACAAAAAAAATAATTATAACATTAAGTATTAATATTTGAAAAAATAATAGTATAACATGTTCAACAAAAATAATAACATAAATAGTAATATAGTAAAAAATTATATATAGAGAGAGAAAGAGAATATCAGTTGTTCTTTGAATTTGAATTTCAAATTTATGTAAAAAAATTTATTGGTATAACTTTATTAATAGTGAATTAAGGGATAATAATTCTCAAATTAGGAAACTAATTTGAAGTTACTTTCAAGAAAGGGTATTTTGGAGTTTTTAAAAAAATAAGGGATTTAACTACTCATTATTAAGATTAAAAACGGATTTATTTTCAAATAAGTTTCTTTGACGGATAAAATTCATTATAAGTTCTTTAAGGAGAACTTAGTCCCAATTTTTACAAAAATATATTCTAATGTGTTAGTAGCCTCGAGGTTCGGTACCTTCCCCAAGTCTGCCCAATTAGTAGAATTGTTAAACAGTCTTTCATAGACCGAGTTTTGGTCGTTTTAGTTCACTCAAACTACTTTAAATTGAAAGGGTTTACTTTCTTGAATTTTTTTACTAAGAAATGGGCGCGATGGTCAAGCTCAAATAAGTATCAAGTCGAGATCGAATCAATCCACATATAAGTATATTCAAACTTGATAAATTTTGNGTTTCTTGAATTTTTTTACTGAGAAATGGGCTCGATGGTCAAGCTCAAATAAGAATCAAGTCGAGATCGAATCAATCCACATATAAGTATATTCAAACTTGATAAATTTTGCACGATAAACACTCCTGTTCAAAACCTCCAAAAAAATAAAAAGTATTTATGTGGAATGGACCCAATATTCTTGGGACAATACTTCAATTCAATGGATATGAATGAACTGTTTTTAATCGGATTGAAAAAAAAATTAGTCGAGGTGTGTATAAGTTGGGCCCAGAAATCTGTGACCATTAAACAAAAAAAAAACTCAGCTTTGTTCTATACTATTTCTGGCTAATTAGCTAAGCAAATTAGCTGCGTATGTACTTATTTCTAAAAGCCCAAGAAGAAGAAACTTCAATTTCTTTTATTCGTTCCAAAAAAACAGAAGATTATAACTCTTCCTATACAATTAAATCGGATTTTGTATTTTATTTTAAGAAACTTTATGGAGGAACCAACACATCTACCATTTAACAAAGTGGATTCTCTTCTTGCCTTCATGCTCGGCGGGTGCAAGCTCCTGATGTAGATCCGGCCTACAAGACCAAATGCTTTGTTAATTTCTCTTTGGTTTTTCGAAATGTAATGCTTGTTAATTTCTCTTTGAATTGAAGTAGTATAAAATTGCAACTCCACTCTATGCATGTAATCAATTGGGCCTCTTCCACATGAGCCCAGTCTTGTGGTGTTGCAACTTATAAGAGAATCCAGTAATGTAATGGCTTCATCAAGTGGATCAGAATTATGGGCCAGTCTTGTATGTGTTATCACTCATAAGAGAATCATGTGTTTGGTGCCCTGCTTCTGTGAATCACATGTTTCACTGAAAAGCCCGGTGGATCAGTGGGCCTGATTCATGGGCCAAATTGGGCTCTGAGGTTTCACCGAGGGAGATGAACAGATTCTGTATCATTTTTTTTTTGAAGATGAAGGAGTACACACCGGATACCGTGGATATAATTAAATATGAATTTTTTTTCAAAATCGTTTTTAGAAAACTTATTTACAATAAAAGTGTATTTAAGTTTTTTTATATCTTAATTGGATTTTTTTACAAAATATTTTTTTTTATATTTTTTTTTAATAATTAAATCCAATTTCATGTACCGACTCAGCAAAGCCCAAGGAAACAAGTGAAAATATTGTCTCACTGGGATTGGCCCGATGGGTGGCTCGCTTAGTAAAATCAATTAGGGTGGGCCTTTCTTGGAATGACTTAACCCGTTGACCAATCACAGTCCCAACCACGGCAATCAACTGACACTTTTTTTTTTATTTTTTATTTTTGCAATAGACGTGGCAGACCCCACTACTACCGTGATTTACGATTAGGAGTGTCAAAATATGATATGATATATTAATACGATATGAACATGATATAAAATTAAAAAATTTGTATTTTTTTAAGTCATTCGTTTAATAAACGAGTAAATACGATGTGTCATAATTAATAAACGAATTAGATATGAGTAAAGTTAATCAAAAAAAATATACGATATAAATTCGATATAACACGATTTATTACACATGAATTAATAAATAAATCGGGTATGAATGATATACCTTTTGACACAAACCCTCTAATACACTACGTGAATCCACGTCACCCAACTCGCTTGAGAAGGCTACTTACCACACAAGCATGTACATCATCGCAACCACACAAAAGCTCCCCATTTGAAGTATCCAGAGCTTGAAATGTTCCTCCTCCCTCGCTCCTCTACATAATTACATAGCAAAATTTAGAAAAACAAAAACAAAGGGAAACATGTTACGAAGTGTGGGAAGAAGATTTGATATAACCAAAGAGTAATACTTGATGAATTTAAAAATTAAATTTGATAATCTTAATCATTGAATAGGTAGTGGGTTCCAATAAATATTGAGACCCACAATAAAATAAATGGTTAAAATTATTAAGTTTACTTTTTAAATTCACGTAGCATTTCTTGTAACCAAAACATGGGTACCTTGTAATAATCGACGGCAACAAAGTTAGCCCATCGGTTGCCAGCGGCGCCGTGGCAAGTTTGAAGCATCTTGATGAGGTCTGCTGAGTTCTGTACACAGGCTAGTAGCTTGATCGGCGTAGATCTGAAGTAATTAACCAAAACCAGAGACTTAGTGGTGTCATTTAGTGGCGATGACTCTCCCCTGTTAAAGCAACTTCCTGCCTTCATCCCACCATCTCCATCTACAATTCATTAGTATAATTTCATGAATAAAGAACATAAACTAATATAGGTAAAGCAAATTCGGGTCGATTGTGATTGGTGGAGCTCGACTTAAGCAAGTCAAAATCGAGCTAAACTCGAGCTAAGGTGTGTATAATTGGTTTCTTACACTGGTTTTCGACCATGTAACTCCACTGGTATGCAATTCCTTCACTGTGTTGCTTGGACTTGATTGAGGTAAATACGAGTAGCCTTTGGTTGTTAGCTACCATGTCACTAACCAGAGGCCAATCTTCACCATTTTGAGGCATCTTTGAAACAGGAAACCAGTACTTCATTAACCCTGCATCTGTAAAAACCTTGGTCAATCCATTCGGGGCCTGAACATAGTCTTCTAGGATCACCGATACTATTTCCGATGGGTTCGCCGATAAGAAAGCCTCAATCTCCCGTAGAGTATCTATGGCCGGTTCCTAGAATATACGTTAAATGATTATGTTTTATGTGATATATAATACATGTTGCTTCAAGAAATGTTCTTTTTTTTTTGAAGATGAAGTAATTTAGAAAGACTTGACTGAAATTTTTCCAAAAAAAAAAAAATACTTACAAATGCAGTGTAGTCATGGCATTGTCCTCCAAATGAATGGCACAACCATACATCTCCTTGGAAATCATATGTATCAAGCATGAGGGCTCGAACCCCGTTCTGTAAATATGAACAGAATCCAAAAAAAAAAGAAGAATAAAAAAGTTGATAAGCCTATTAAAAACGTTTAGAATAAATCAAGAGGTTTTGGAGGATGGCCATACATTTAGCTGCCGAGTAACATTGTCTTCTTGGTTGGTGAAGGTAATTCTAGGAACTCCAGTGTGAGATGGCTCACCGTCAATGGCATAAGCATTGTGGGTTGTCAAAAATGCATACTTGTTCAATGGAAGAGAATTGTTCTATTGCCACAAGAAAATATGTTATTATATTTTATTTTTTTTTGGTAATCTAGCCATACACCCACAATCAGATCTTCATGCTTCAACTTCCCAATCAGCCATTTAGGTTGTGTGTGTTTGTGTATATGTATGAGAGAGAGAAAGAGATGATACCAAGAGCTTGAATTGATCTGTGCCGGTTGATCTAACACATCTTGAACCTGAAAATGTTTCAGGACAAGAGAAACAATAAAGTCCTGCTTCGCAATCTGCATCCGTTGAGCATCCATCAAGAATCTACATTCACAAACATATTCCCAGACAGAACTTACATTTTGTACACATAACAACAATATTCATCATAAAAAACATACCACTGTGTGTGTGTGTGAGAGAGAGAGAGAGAGACCCTGCATTCTCCATTAGAGCAAGCTGTCGCAACTCTAAAGACCTCGGAAACTATGACCAAAAGCAGGAATTTCCCAAGACCCATGTGGAGGATACGAAGTGAAATTAGTGAGATGTTGAAGGAAAAAAGGAGATAGAAAGACTGGTTTCATGCAGGCGCTGATTACATAAATCGAACACAAGATTCTACGAATACGAATCAATCAATATATATGTTTCCTATGTTTTTGGCTGACAAAACCAAGGAAACTTCCGGCCAGAAAAAAATTAATGTGTTCTGAGGTAACAACATGGGTACACTTAGAAAAAACAACAAAGTGGGAACAAAGCTTTTGCTGGCTATCAAATCAAGACAAAAGATTTGTCAAAACAGTTAAAGGAAAAAGTTTGATGGTAAGGGACATAGTGTGAACGTGTAAATGGCATGTGCAATAAATACTAGGGTAAACTATCAATCCAACTGTTCTAAGTAATTATTTTAGCAAATTAAGTTCAGGTCATATTACTCTCGAATAAATGTAGATTACTAGTTAATTTTTTCAAATTGGAGTTACTGATCTAACTATCCTTGTTCATTTAAGAAATAATTTTTCGTAAAAGATTTGGTGTGCACATTCTTACTTGATTCGTTAACACTCGTTCGTGTTAGATCTTTTTTTTCAATATATATAAATTTTTAAGTTAACAATCATGAATACGAATATTCAACAATATAAACGAGCGAAAAAGTGTAATTAAGAGATTTGTAACTGCTCATTTATTAATGTTTACTAGCGAAGACCCTTGAATTTCTCTTTGCTATAATGATAGGCATTCAACAATGGGACCAGCCAATGGATTAAAGTTGCTGCATAGTTTATCAGTTGGCAAGAATGTAGCATTGTGCTAGAGTTTCTTATGCTTGCACAACTGGTACAGCTATAACTGTTCATCTTGACTTGCCCTGTAGTTTGGTCATCTACTCCAATAACAGGCACAATGTAGTTTTAGAGGGAATAGTACTGGAGCAGGATCCACTCCACTATTCTTTATAATGCTTTCAATTTAAGGTCACTATATGTGTATTGGTGGAAAACCCAATGAATATTTTAGATCGTGCTTCGATTATGATAGAATTGAGACAATCCAATATTAAAATGAATGAATGTAAATACTCATGACCTTCCAATTCGAGCATGCTTTTAATTAGGTCTTGTTGATTGCAAGGATTTCTTTCCATATTAACTAGTTTAATTTCTTTCCCCCTAGAATTTGGTAAAGAATAGGTGTATGCTTTCTAATATAGAAAAGAAATATTTCCATAAATAACATTTATCACTAGGATTTTCCAAAATTGAATTCAAATATATATTAGCATTCACGATTTGTTTTTATTTTAATTTTGTGAAGAATGTGTTTCATAGGAAATTTGAGCATTTCTTAACCAAAAAGTAACAAATTAGCATCACATCCTTTAGATTAATTTTTTTTAGAAAATATTATACAATTTAAATAAAATCTAAAAATTATAACTCAAATTTATATACTCCCTTGTATTTGCATGAATGGATCCCACTGAAAAAGTTAATGAGACCTACTCGTTCAAATGATAATATACATTTAAGTTATAATTTTTTAAATTGTGTAACATTACTCATCCTTTTTGGCCCTCCGAGAGGAAGGGAATGGGTGATGTGATAAACATATTCTGTTCACGCATGTTTAGGGGAGGGGGTGAAATGTTATTTGAACTTAATTTATTGACATAATTCACTAGTTCTTAAATTGACAATGGATGCTATCAAATATTAAAACTTAATGTTAATCAAACGTTCACAATAAATTATGTTAGCAAATTAAATTTAAATAGTATTATTCTTTAATTATTACTTAGCATTATTGTAAGATTGGGGATAAAGATAAGGTTTCCTTAATGATTAATTGGCGTGCCGTCTTGGACAATTCGTATATATGAATATGACCCCAAACTGGCTGACCCCATAAACGGCATATATTACAAGAATTACGACACCTTGAAATCTACAATTTATCAATTGGTTCACACACACACACACACACACAGATATATATATATATATATAATATGTTATACTATCACTCTAAATCTTCTTATGAGTTGTTTTTTAGCTTTGTTGCTTCTTGGTATCGTTGCTCTATTGTTGGGTTATCAACTTGGTCTTGTGCTCTTTACTTTTTGAGTTACCAATTTTATTTTATTTTTGTTCTCAACGGTTTAGAGCAATACATCTATAACAATCGAGAAAACATTCACGGAGGGATGAGGAGAAGCGTGAAAGAAGGGCACGGTAAAACCGCAAAGAGAGTACATCATAATTAATTAATATTTGTCTATGATAAAGATTAACTCTTCTGTAAGAAATTTTAATGATTCGTATATGAAAATTCAGAACAACTAAATTATAAGGTTTAGAACATATTTGTATAAGTCATGATACTCGATCTCCGAATTTCTTTCTTGAAATGACAAGGTCTTCCTCTCCTTTTTCAAAGTAATAGGCGGCTCTCAATGTGACAAGTTAAATTAGGGTTATCAAGTAGAGAGGAGATCTAAGCCTGCTATTTATAATGAAATTTAATGGACTATCCCATTACGGGTCATAATTAGATTAAGGTCTACACTTAACCGTCTCAACCACATCAATTAAAAGATGTACATAAGCACATCAAAATAGATTACTTAATATTATTGGGCTCATCTCATTAGATCATAAATTCAGCCTATTTTTTACAAACTAAAATTAACTATCAATTAATGGCAGTCTTATATAAAAAAAATTTTAACATTCTCCCAGTTGGACAATATTAATTGTAGTCATATAGAAATAAAATAAAATTATATATATATATATATATATATATATATTATTTTATTTTTAAAAACGACTCTCGGACTAATCAAACAAAACTCAATGTGGCCACAATAAAAAAATAATATGGTCCTGAGACAACATCTCAAATACAATCCGGTCCAATAAAACTATTATTTTTGAACCATGGCGGCCTTTACATCCTTTATTAACATAGGACCAATTCATGATTACAAAAAATAATAATTCTATTGACATGGATTAAGATGTAGTAGTGTAACAAGAAAATAACATCTCAATATGTAATCTGATAAACATATTATTTTCATTGTCAATCCTCCAAATGATTTCTCTTTAACAACATGCTTCAACAATAAATTAGAGAAATTCATTAGCTTCAACAATAAGCTAGTATGTCTTTAAACTTAAAATCACAACATTTTCTTAAATTGTGTAATCAGAGATATATTCAATTGACAAAACAGTCATACTTAAGACATACACTAAGTTTTAAAATTTTATATAAAATGATATGTCATAAATGTGTACACATATAACATAGCGAGAATATCATGCTAACAATAAACATAATCATCAAATAGATATATATCAACCATAATGAGTATCAAATATCACATATGGAATTAAATCAACACTAAAGTTCTTAATACAAAAAAAAAAAAAAAAAACTCCCACTAACCAAGTTCATCAAAAGACACCAATATACTCATGTTGTCAACATGTTTCTTAAAAGTTACAGATCTCAGTCTCTTGGTTAAAGGATCAGTAAACATTGATTCTGTATCAATATGTTTAATCACAATGTCACATTTCTTCACAAGATCTTTAATAGAAAGATCTTTAATTTTCATATGTTTAGACCCACTATAATGTTTGTTGTTCTTTGAGAAGAACACAACTTCACTGTGATCACAATAAATTGTTAGTGGTCTAGAGATAGAATCAACAATCATAAGTTCTAAAAAAAAAATTCTTAGTCATATAGCTTGTGTTGCAGCTTCATAACAAGCTACAAATTCAACTTGCATAATAGAAGAAGTTGTGAGAGTTTGTTTAACACTCTTTCATGATATTGCTTCTCCAGCTAACATAAAAATATTCCCTGAAGTGAATTTTAAATCATCATGACACCCAACAAAATCTGAATCTGAGTAACCAATCACCTCAAGACTATCAACACTCTTATAAACAAGCATGTAATTTTTTGTTCTCTTCAACTATCTCATAACTTTCTTAACTATCACCCAATGATCTAATTCTGGTTTGAAAAAATATCTGTCAAGAACGCTAACTACAAAAGCAATGTCAGACCTAGTACAAATTTGTGCATACATTAAACTGCCAATAGCACTCGCATAAGGTATACTCTTCATAGACTCCTCCTCATGATCATTCTTGGGGTAATAACTTGAACTGAATTTATCACCTTTTACAACAAGTACATCCTCAAACTTACAATTATGCATATTAAATCTTTTAAGTATACGATCTATATATGCCCTTTGAGAAAGTCTCAACAATCCACAACTCTTATCTCGATGAATCTGAATGTCTAACACAAAAGATGTTACCCCAAAATCTTTCATGTCAAATATTTTGCATAACAATTGTTTAATCTCATGAAGTAAGACCAAATCATTACTTGCAAGCAAAATATCATCAACATAAAGAACAAGAAAAATAAATTTGCTCTCACTGACCTTAAGATATATGCATTGATCCATCTTGTTCTCAACAAAATCAAGAGAACTTACTATCTTATTAAATTTCAAGTACCATTGACGAGAAGCCTATTTGAGACCATAGATAGACTTCTTTAACTTGCACACTAAATATTCTTTCACATTCTCCTTAAAACCTTCAGGTTGCATCATATAAACTTCTTCACTAAGCTCACCATTCAGGAAAATTGTCTTCACATCCATCTACTGAAGTTCTAGATCAAAATGAGTCATTAATGTCATAATGATCCTGAAAGAATCTTTCGTAAAGACAGGTAAGAAAGTTTCATTAAAATCTATATCTTCCCTCTGGCTATACACTTTTACTACCAATCTAGCTTTAAATATTTCAATCATACCTTTGGAGTCCATCTTAGTTTTAAACACTAATTTGCAGCTAATGGGTTTACATCTCTCAGGAAGTTCCACAAGCTCCCACACTTCATTGTGTGCCATAGAATATATCTCATCTTTCATGACACCTACCAACATATTCGATTGATGACAAGTAATAGCATCACGGTATGTTACAGGATCAACAATATCACTAATATCCCCAAGGTATACATAATATTCATTAGAAATAACAAGTCTCTTTGGTTTTGTAGACCTTCTCAAGAAAATTTTAGTAGTAGGCTCTAAAGGCTAAGGAGCCTCAATAGGAATAGAAGGTTCAATTG